GTGCCGGTGGTAGCCCCTCACGCCCAAGGGCACTTTACAGGCAATGTCCATTATTCAGGCACAAGCAGCTGGCACAAGAGGGTCTTGTAGCAACACTCCGCGACCCCAGCCCCCTTACCTGGTTCGGCGTCCTCACCGCGACAGTTTTAACCTCCCAGCACCAGGCGAGCGCTGCGGAGGGGTGGGGCCAGCGCCGTGACGTTAGGAAAGAGTAAAGGACCACTCACGCCCCTCAGCTCGTCCCCCGGCCATTGGCGGGCCGCGAGCCGCTAGCTAACTGCTATGCCCGCCTCCTGGAGGCGGAGGCAAACCCGGCGCAGCGAGGGCTCGGAGCTGAAGCTGACTTTTGTTTCCACTCTCCCTGGACAGCCATTGATTTGAATCGATTAATAGCCCTGGTGGGCGAGAAATGCGGCAACCCGAGCAATGGAAGGTGACGAGGACTCCTAAGGTTGGGCTGAGACGCTCCTGCCCCGCTCCTACATCCGGGGGTCGGGGGGCGGAGACGCAGTTCCCTGGAGGAGGCTTCGGGATCCAGCCCAGTTTCTCCCGGCGGTGAGCTCCGTCCCTGTCAGTCCTATTTGTGTTTTAGGAAAAACAAGGTCAGTCGCTCAATTCGTTTCTATCCAGAAATGAGAGAACTGAAGCCTAAAATAGTGGTTCCGAGACTTTGAGATTCCTTGGATTAGTCGAATTTCTCCCCAAATTATGGAACCAACAACAATGAATACCCATCTTTATTTTGTGTAGTCAATTAAAAAGTCATCGCCCTTTAAAAGAGCAATAGCAGTTTAACATCCCAAAGTACGAAGGTTATAATCTTTTACGTTGTAATAAAGGATACTAGGGCCGGCCCGTGGCTCACTTGGGAGAGCGTGGTGCTGACAACACCAAGTCAAGGGTTAAGATCCCCTTACCAGTCATTTAAAAAAAAAAAAAGGAGTAAAGGATACTAATAAAATAAATTTGCTGTTGCCCTTTCACCATTTCGCGCGGGACTGAAAATTTGTCAGACCTAGTCCCTGGATCTGGTGCAAACGTACCCATACACTGCCCTCTAGAGATCAGAGGGCTGAGCTACAACCTTAATCAGTCCAAGTGAAAGGCTTCACCTCCACTGATGATCTTTTGGAAGATCATTTCCCTTCCCTTTCTGCTCTCCAACGAAAGCTTTTACCAGAAATCAAGGAGCTGTTGTGAGTGGTGAGTGGTGGGTGGTGGTCGTGGGGGAAAGGTTAAGAGATAGGAGAAGGGAACTGACAGTGAAAAGTTGATTTTGTCTTAAGTTTTTGGAAAAGTTATCAACCTGTGTACAATTAAATCATTAAAGAGGCCTGATGCTCGACCTATCCTACCAGTAGTTAAAAAAAAAAAAAAAAAAAAAAAAAAAAAAGGTGTGGGGGCTGGCCAGTTATCTCACTTGGGAGAGTGTAGAGCTGAGAACACAAAGGTCAAGGGTTTGGATTGTCATACTGGCCAGCTGCCCTCCCCCCCCCAAAACAAAAAGGCTCAGCCCAAAGAGGATACAGAGTATTCAGGGTCTAAATGCCATGGTATAAGAGTCCTTCCTAATAATGGTGTCACCTGCTTGTGTGCTACGTTCATGCTTTACATAATTGACCTTTAAACCTCAACTTTTCATTTTTACAGATGAAGAAACTGAGGCAAAGAGCACTGAGTAACTTGATCAGGGCTACAGCTGGTAAGTTGGCAGAGATGAGACTAGAATGCCAGGTCTATCTGGCATCAGTCTTCTTTCCTGTCCTCCTTCAGATTCTTTGGAATTTAAAACTCCTCTTGTAAACATATCTAATCTTTTCTCTTACATTCCCCGCATTGCCCTGTAGATTATGATGGACTGAAGGGCTTCAAGTATAGGAGTCAAGAGCAGATTCAGGGGAAATTTTCCTGTTGGGGTGGAAGCCACATGATCAATTAAAAAAGCTAACTCAGTGATTTTTTTTTAACCTTTAGGTCAATGAATATTACTTCAAAGGATTCACAAATACCACTCCTCCCTCCAGTTTCATGAATGGGCCCAGAGATCCACAGACCACATCCCCCACACATATATACATTTTGTTAAGAGGGCCTAAAAAAGTTAAAATGGGATCAGATTTGATGAGCTATCTAAGTGGCCTGTGAATAGGGGTGATTAAATGCAATAAATGGCCTATTTTCCAAATGGCATTATTTCAGTGTTCAGAAAAAGATTAAAGTGAATAAGGAGGTACCAAGATGAAGGGGAGGGTATGTTTCTGATTCAATGAAACACTACTGGGGGCCCCTTCTTCCAAATTCCTAGTATCAGACAAAAAAATGAAGCAACACTCGAATCCACTTTTTTTTTCTCCTTTTTTACTTACATTAAATACATCAGTAAATCAGCAGTCGCATTCTGTTACCACGATTGTTATGTTGGAAAGGGAGGAAAGGGAAAGAAAGGCAAATGCTTTCTTAGAAGCAAAGAAAAAAAAAGACACCCCCACCCCCTAAAAAAAAAAAACTGATCAAAAGAAAAAATTGAAGAGGTGGGAAATAAAAAACTAAGATTTTCAAGCCCAAGAGTTCAAAGGAAGGCTGAAGGGCTGATAGGAAGTAGAAGGAAGGCAGCAGATGGGCCCAGAAGCTAAGGCCAATCCTAAGGGGGTGGGGGAAGGGAGAAGAAGCCTGGGGAAATGGTTCCCTACCTCCAAGGCAATAAACATCTTCACTCCTGCTCCATGGGTAAAGCTGCACAAAAAAGACCTTCATTTCTAAGAGACTTAGAGAGCCATCCTAGTTCTTCCACTTGTAAAAAGGATGCACTGGTGCTTTGGGCAACTAGTGGATTTTGAGAAAGGAAGGGGAAAATCTATGTGTGCTTCAGGGCCATGGGAACTAAGGCTGCCCCTGGAAAAGTAAGGG